GTTAATTGTCCAAATGAAATGTAAAATCATTAAAATGAGATGTTTTTTTTTTTTTGTTTAATAATTTTCGTTTGTTTTAGTTTTCAAATAATTGAATCATGTTGGACATTTAAAGAATCATTACGGCCAACATTTACACAAATATGTGGAAGTCTTCGACATTATTTATATGGTTCATCACCAATTGATTATTCCGATTTAGATTATGTAGATTTTCCACCAATATCATCACCATCAATGAGTGATTTTGCATCGACAACAATTTTACCTCTATCAACATCAGGTATTGCAAGTGATACAAATAGTCATAGTCATATAACAACAACGGCCACATCATCATCATCACTTTCTTAGTTTACTTTTCTTTTCTTTTTTTTCCTTTTTCTTTTTGTTCTTTTGTGACTAATCAGGCAATTTGTATTTCATAGGAATTGACTTCTGATTATTGTTCAGTTTTTCTTTTTTTCTTGTATGTCAAATATTTTTTTTATTACGTATATTTGCAATATAAAAATTATTCAATCTAATTAGATTTCATATTATTTTGTGTTGTCTAACAGTGATCAATGAGAAAATTTTTCTTAGGAAAATTTTTTCCTGATAAAGTAATGAATGAAAGATTTATTTTCGTTGTGAAAAAAAAAAATGATTGTTTTTACGAATGGCATTGATTTGACCGAAAGAAAAAAAATGACGATCACATGAAAATGTCGAAAAAAGTTTATTTTGAGATTCTCGACCAGCGAGATAAAGATATGAATGGATGTGGTATGAGTATTGGTGACCTGAAAACTCATATCCACATCCACACTAGAGATGTGCAGGACCAAGCTTTTTTGGTCACAGCAACGGGAACTGGTCCCGTATATCTGTAACTCACATCCACACATTCAAAATTGGAACAAAATGAGGGGTTGCCGCTTTTTCTCCGATCTTCTTTTAAAAAGTTAAAAGTATCATAAAAACCAATATTTAACAAAAAATCGACTAAAACTTGCCTTTTCCCAGTTTTTATGATATTTTTAACTTGTTAACAGAAAGTCGTAAAAGATAAGACGATCAGACATTTTGTTCAGAATTTGTGCTCTTTAAAATGACATTGTTATAATATTTCTCCGACAAAGCCTTTTGAAACATAAAAACTACTGTGTCCAGTCTTTTGGAAACCTTGCCATCATAGTTTATCTATGAAATCTTGGTATTGAGAACTTCATTGGCTATTAAAATCACTATCTGAATTTGAGGTAGCTGTTTAACATTATAGAAAAAAAAAATCAAAGGTACGTTGTTAATAAACTTTTCCCACTATCTTCTATGCGGAGTGGCTCATAAATAGCTATACGCCCAAAACAATTCAATATCTCCAGTCTGCTCTAGAGTAATTCTTTTGGAAGTGTACTAGAATTTACATTGACTCCATTCGAAGTGTTTCAAACTTTCAGAAGTATTAGAACTTGATATTCTGACGCCAAAAATTATCTTCAAACATTTAAAAAATAATGTCTTGATAGATTGCAACATTCGATGCGGATAGCTTTTCTAGTCATAATTCGATTTCCAGAATTTTCTTATTTCAAATGATTTTTTTGTTATCTTAATGTTTGAATTCTTCCTTGTAAAAGGTTTTACTTATTTATTTATGTATTAGTGAGTTACGTTTGGACAACAATACTCCCTTCAATTAAATGAAACACCTTTATGTTTACAAACACTCACATATACACAAGCATATATTTTTCTTTCTGTTTTCTCTCTTCTCCTTTTCATATTGATTTTAAATTTATGATAGGGAGATGGCAAGACAGTGATACTGGTAGGATTTGTCGACTATTTGTCTTCTTCCTCCGTCCTACTATTATATGTTTAAAATCAATATCAGCAGAGAGAAAATTAAAAACAAACATGTGTTAATAAGCATAAATGTATTTAGTCTGACGAAGAGAAAAGCTCTTCTTTCCAAAGTTTCCTTTGGATTAAAAATGCCTTCGGAAAACTCGATTTTTCCGATGTTTAACGAGCCTAATTTCTTCCATGAGGAACATTACTTACTAACCAATATTATATACGTTAAAATCATCCCTGCATGTTCTAGAAAATTTTCAAAGGTGTTAAGTAAAATCTGACTGCTAAATATGAGGATTTTGGGAGGCAATTTTTAATTTTTACCTGAACTTCTTGCTGAGAAAACTCAGAATTCTGACTATAAGAAAGCTTTCTATTTAGGATAATCTTGACCTAAGCGAATAATTTAGGCTTGGAGAACCTCGAAAAAACAGAGTTCTATGTAGGCACTTTCTATATAAAGAAAACGTTGGAGAAAAACAAATTTGTTTAACAAAAGTTAACCTCACTGATTAGTATCTGTTTTGAAACTTTCAGTATTTTATCCTTTAAAATAAGAAAATTCTAGAAGTCGGATTTTAACGAGAACGACTCTTAGAATCGGAGGTCGAAAGTTATCAAGACATGGTTTTAAAAATTTCAAGGATGATTGTTACTGTTAAGATATAAAGTTCTACTGCTTTTGAACACACTAAAATTTTTAAATGTTAAGTACTAAGAATGGCTGAGATACTTTTTCACCAATAGCGCTAGTTCTACACAGTATCTATTCGACAGGCTCTTTATGAATAAAAACTTTGACGAGTCTCCTATTACCGCGAAAAAATTCAGTTCGATTGATTAAAGTAAACTGAAAAGGGTTGTTATTGAATATCACCGTTTGTGAAGCTCAAAAAAAACCAAAAAATTATTATTTTGTACTCTTTTTTTTACGAAAAGTAAGAAACGATGATTTAAATCTAATTCTAAAAAACAAGTCTATCTCAATGTTCAGTAGATAAATATTTTCTTACTTCGATGTAGCTCATGAGGAATAAATTATCGAATCGTTATATTTTTTTTTTAATTCCTTGATTATTAGCGTCCTCTGTCTAATTGCTTAATATTAATTGGAAAAAACGTCCTACAATCCATATAACATATTGTTGTTTTTTCTTTTTTCTGCGCATTCTTTCTTTTTTTTTACAACTCTTATATAAATATCTCTTTCTCAGATTTTTTTTCTCATTGGCTTTTTTACTTTTTTTTTTGAAATCTTCATCGTTTCTGACTGTCTATTGATTGACATAAATATGTCCAATCTATTATATATTGCCCTCCCTTATCTTGTCCTCACAATCTCAATGATTCATTTTCATTTCAATTGACACGTTATGCCATTTTGTACTATTCTTTAAAAAATAAAACTTGATCATACAGAGTACTTCCGGTGTTCATCATGCAAAGTGCTCCACCTGATAATGCAATTACCTATAAATTAGTAGTCGTTGGTGAAGGTGGTGTTGGCAAATCTGCCTTAACCATTCAAGTAAATACAATATTGAAGGAATTTAATAAAAAAACAAACTTTCATATAATTTTCATTTTAGTTTTTTCAAAAAATGTTTGTTGAAGATTATGATCCAACTATTGAAGATAGTTATATTCAACATGTTGAAGTTGATAAACAAGTATGTGTACTTGATGTTCTTGATACAGCTGGTCAAGAAGAATTTTCTGCTTTACGTGAACAATATATGCGTAAAGGTGATGGTTTTCTTATTGTTTATTCTGTGATTGATTCTAATTCATTTAAAAATACTCGACAATTTTATAATCAAATACTTCGTGTTAAAGACAGGTATTTCATTTTGTTTTTTTTGAAGAATTTTATACAAAAATATAAATTATTTGTACCTTTCGGTTTTAAATAGAAAATCTTATCCAATGATTCTTGTTGCAAATAAAATTGATTTAGTGCATTTAAGAAAAATATCTGAAGAAGAAGGTCGTGAATTAGCAAATGAATTACAAATCCCATATATTGAAACCAGTGCAAAAGTTCCACCAGTAAATGTTGATACTGCATTTCATGAACTTGTTCGTGTAATACGACAACAAAATCAAAATCAATATCCAATAAAAAAGAAACGAAAAAAACGTCGATATTTAAATCGTTGTCGACTTATGTGACAATACATCTTTTTAAATTACAATCAATAATATTGTTATTTAAAAAAGTTTTCTTTCTTTTTTTTTCTTTCATAATCTTGATTGTTTATGTGCCTTTTTCTTTTCTCATGTGTGTATTCATTTCTAGCTCAACTCTTTTGTCAATGTATGCACGTATGACAATTAATTTAAATAAAATCTCTTTCATTGAAGTAAAAAATTGAATATATATTCTATTAGATATGATCATTATTTAAATAACATATTTCGAAAATATTTCAGTCAATTTTATTAGATTATTTACTGTAGATATAGAGAATTTCTAAATATCTGTATATTTATATGTAAGTCTTTTATTAGTTGGTCGTGTATTAAGCTATTTAAGATAAATATTGGTTTATACAACGATTGATATTGATGTTGATAGGAATATCAATTAATCATTTACTTGTTAACACCAATATACTTCTAGTGAAGGATTGATTAATATAGAATATTCTTTTGAATACATTGATCTTTAGATCCTAATTATTCAATAAGATTAATAATAAATATTTTTGATTTATATAATCATTCGAATTCTAACGTATATCATTATACATATAGTAATATTTCAATGAAATATTTTCGTAATATGAACTACAATTAGAAAATATTTATTATTACAATTCAATACTTATATCAACAACTAATACAAAAAAAAGATTGTAACCTATATATGATTTGCATAAAAGATAAGAAATTTAAAAGAATATACATATATACATCTCCTATATGAAATAATATTAAATGATTCGGAAGAAAAAAAAATACTTCATTTAATCGAAGTACGTGAGCGTACTTATGTATTATTTGGACAAGTAAGTTATTCAATGTTGATTTATTTATATTAATCTAATTTATTCAAAAATCTATTGATGTACCCTATTGAACTTATTGCATCATTAAAAATGATTTTGTTTTATTTTCTAATAATATACAAAGATCTTTAAATATAAGCGTGGAAAATATTGATCAATTGAACTATTTTAGTCGTTAGTTTGATAATAAAATAGATTTGTTATATATCTGTTTTGTTTCGTTTGAGACAAATTCAATTATTTCAATCGGCTATTGTCGATAATATTATATTTAATAATGCAGTAATGTCTATATATATATATATACATATCATTGTTCGATCAACTTCTGTTAATTTAACTACTAATGAAATTAAAGGACTGGTTTGAATTATTTTTCTAAAGAGAAAGTTTTTCAATCATAGATTTATCATCTTCTTCCGATATATATTTTTGTTTTCAATCATTATTTTCCAATATTTATTGCCAAATAAATTATGTATATCAGATCTGTCTTGTTTTCACTATAATTCATTCTCGTAGAATAATCAATCTTCAGTTTTCTCTATGTAACTAAGAATAAATGTCTTTGATGGAACTTATTGTTTCCACTGTTGTTGATAAGCTGACGTTACTTGATTCATCATTAACATTTTTCATTCTAATTAAAATGTCAATATTAATAAATTTCAGAATACAAATCATAGTAAATCATTGAAGATTCACTATTCAATTAAACTATATTTGTTTCATGGAAATTGTAAAGCAAAAAAAAAAAAGAACATATGTGTTTGACATGTGTAGATTTTAATAAATCAATTATTCAAATATTTTTATCAAATAAATAAATATAACAAGACTCGAACAAAAATAGAATTTTGCATATATGTCAAATCAGATAGTTGAATTCAATAATTCAATATAGATATACATGAAATTTAGATATTCATGGAAATAGAAATATATACGAAGCAACTTTCGCGCTGAGGACACCACGGAACTATATACGCAGGGTAATATCAGAATATCTGAAAAGATCTTCAATAATTGGATTCAACTCTCACATTTTGACACTAATGGAACTTCTTAGGTATTCAATTACCATTAAGAATCTTTCTGCTTCTGTTTGGCATCAACCTAATATTCAAATTGTAAAGCCGGTATTGATGTCGAGCATGACAAACCTTCACCGATTCCATCTCTATTTACTTGTATTATTTGTCTTTTCATGAAAGTGTTATTGTCTTGGTATTGCAGTATCCTGTGAAAAATCAGAATAAACTTTGAATAGAATCCATTAAATACTTCAAAATTTATGTGGCTTTATTGTTTATGTTGAATCATTTTGAATACGATTGCTTAGAGTATTTTTTTAAGTTTGTTTTTTTACCAAAATCATCATGAAATCTTTTTTTTTTTGGTTGAGATTATCTAAATAAATTCAAAATGTGTATGATCTACTATTCATAGTCTATAAAAGAAAAAGTGCTATGATTTATTGAGATATTTATTGCTTGAAATTTTTTATTCCAAGTGTTTTTTATTATTATGCAGTATCGATATCCTTGAAGTATAAATCAAAATGACAAAATGAAATAAAATATCAACAATATTTAAGATATTAAAATCTAATCTGCAAAGAAACTGATGTACATATTGGATATAGTATTTATTTTATCTAATCTTAAAAAGCTTTTCTTTCTGTCTCGTTTATTTTTTTTTGCTTCTAAAGAATTCAATCAATAAAAAAAAAAGAATAATAATAATAATAATGCAGTTTTGTTTCTTGTCAAATGAAAAGAAAGTCAAGAAGCCACCTGCCAAGAAAACGTTTGTATGTTTGCTATTGTCGTTATGCATTTTAAATGTTTCTCTGCCGATAGATTTTTTTTTCGCCATGATTCAAACGAGAATTGTGACAACAAAAAATATAAGAAACCGCCCATATATATAAACTAAATCAACTGATTTCTTTTTAAATAAATTAAAATACAAAATGTCACAAAGAAATACTCGTCACGGTAAATCGAGGAATGATAATTTTTTAAAAAGAAAAAAAAACAATCAGTTTTTTTTGTAGTTTCCACTAATATACCATCGGCTCGAACAACAGTTAAAAGTGTAATATCTACCAGTAGTCAACCAACAGTAGCTGCATTATCACGAGCAAGTAATATCGAATTTATAGATTACAATACAATAGATGTAGCTAGGTAAATCGATTAATTAGACAAAAATAAAGACAATAACGAATGATTGAAACAAGAATAAAAGAATTTTTTTATTAGAAAAGAAATTATTCATAAACAACAAGAAGCACATCGAGCATGGATAACAAAATTTGATCCATGGTTAATTGATGAATATCGACAAGTAAGATATGTTTAATATTCTTAAAAATTTTTAATTATTAATGATGAATTACAGATGTATGATAATATAGCAAAAGTTCATGGTATTTCTCGTGAGAATTGTCTTATTTCTCTGAAACGTACTGAATGGCAGCAACCAACTAATATCTTTCCACCATTACATAAACGTCTTACAGGTCAACGTCGTCGACGTTTATTAGGAGCATTTCCCGAAACAGAAAATGACGTGAGCATCTTGAGTTATTTTTGCGTTACTCTTGATTGATGAGTTATATATGATACTTGTTGTTTTTTTATATATAGAAAATTGGTTGGAGAATTTTACCACAACAAGCTATTGAAATCTATGGACGTGCAAAATCGGTTAATATTAAACCATTACCCAAACAATATAAATTTTCTAATTGGCCAATTGAAAGTTTTTATTAATTCAATTTAAACATTTTCTTTTGAAAATTATTTTTATATTTATCAAAATAATAAAAAGAAACAAAAAAAGATAAGATAACCAACACAATGATTGTGGAAAGAATATAAAATCTATTACTTGTGTAATGTTTTGTCGTTATTAGAGTACAGTCAAGAAAAAAAACGAAGAGGAAAGAAAGAATATGTTAAAATGATAAAAAGCATTCATTTATCTTTCTTTCTCGTTCGTTTGCCCGGTCGCTCCGTCTCTTTTTTTTTGACAACCACGAATAAGTAATGTTGGCGTTACTGCGGCAGTGATCATCGTCGATCGTCGTCATAAGAGAGTGAGAGATGCAGCAAAAGGAAGAGGACGCGCATATATTTTTTTGTTAGTATTTTGTGTATGCATTCGATCCAACTATTTATGTTACGTTGATACATATATTTCTTAATATTTAGTGTGAATATATATTTGTGTGTACAGATTCATTTGTTGAATATCATCTTGATCTATATTCAGAACGAAGTACGGTTTCGTTTTATCGTTTATTGATTCTGTATGTAGCTCGAACTAATGACAAAAAAAAGTCGATTATGTTGTGGATCATTTAATATTTCGTCTTAAATTTATTTTCAATAGTCTCTTGATATAAATATTTATGTATTTATATATACATTGCCATATTCTTTGTAGAAGTATTAATAATCAATTTAAAATTTTTGTATAATTAATTATAATATCAAAATGGGACAAAAAACGAGTAAACAGAAAAAAGACTTAACTCATTTGTCAGATGAAGAAATTGAACGATTAACAAAGAATACAACATATACAAAACAACAAATTCAAGATTGGCATCAAGGATTTATTCGGTATAAAAAACAAAATGATAACAAAAGAAAATAATATATATATATATATATAAATATATATTTTTATTTTTATTATATAGTGATTGTCCTAATGGCAAACTTGATAAAAAGAAATTCTTAGAAGTGTATAAGGTATAATATTCATTTGTTCATTGATATAGAAATTGTTTATTGTTGTTTCATTTAGAAATTTTATCCTGAAGGTAAAGCTGAAAAATTTTGTTCACAAGTTTTTAAAGCATTTGGTAAATAATGATTTTTAAAAATTTCAATTTTTGTTTTCCTATTCTCTTCTATAATGTAGATTCGGATGATAATGGTTATATTGATTTTGTTGAATTTCTTATTGCTGTGAATATAACATCTCATGGTTAGTATTTAAAATTAAAAATAGAAAAAAGATTAGGAATAAAATCTTTAATCAATTCTATTTTCTTTTTTGTTTTTAGGTGATGTTAGAGAAAAACTTCGATTAGCTTTTGATATGTATGATATAAATAAAAATGGAAAGGTAATTTTTAATAGAAAACAACAGAAAACTTCTCAAGAGAGATTAATAGAATTTTTGATTAAAATATTCTGCATCTACTTGATATAACTTACGATCGCATTGAATATATATATATATATATGATGATATAACACTACATATACAATCTACCAATCGTTCTTATTCTGTGATAAAAATAAGGCCAGCTGTTGCATGCATATATATGTCGTCATTGGCCATGCCTAACAATCGGAAAAAAGAAAAATAGCAATTGTTTTTGTCGTTTCTTATTTCTCTTATATTCTTAGAATCTTTTAAAGAAGCTCTACCGCTGTTCCCTATTACTTCTGCTATCATACGATTTGTTTTCTATGCTTTCTTTTTCTCCCGTAAACGAAGACTATAACATTACAAGCATATAATGAAAAGGACACTCATAGTATCGCATCACCGCACACTCTTGTTACATTGTGTCGTTAACAAGAAAAAACGCACAAACAAACTAATAATAAATGTTAGAAAACCGAATATAAATTGGGCGTTTGTATAAACACATAGTGCATCTTTGATAACCATTTTTCTTCTTTATTCTCTTTTGCAAGCTGCTGACTTGTCGACAACGTTTGTCGTCGTAGGACAGAGAAAGGAAAAAGAATTGTATTAGTGAAAAGAGAGAACATAAAAGCAAGTTGTATGCGTGTGTTGGCGAAAGAACAACACATCGTTTACTGTTTTATGTGCTATTGTTTTTCATACATATTACTCCTTTTCGTGTACCTTTATTTTGTTCTTGCTTTCATTTGATTATTTTCATTTTGTTTTGTTTTCATCCTTGTTATTTCTATATCAAATCATATTATATCATCTTATTCATAAAACTATTTTAGTTATATTCTTAAAATTACCTATATTCAGATTTAGCTTTTTTTTTATTTTTCAATAATACTACTACAATGGGTCATAAAGAAAGTAAAACTATTGGTGTTGAATTAGACGACGAAACAATTGATCGTCTTACAAAAAATACAAATTATACACCTGAACAAATTCGTCAATGGCATCAAGCATTTTTACGTGATTGTCCAAATGGAAAATTATCACCAAGACAATTTACAGAAGTTTATAAAAAATTTTATCCTGAACATGAAGCAGAAAAATATAGTCAACAAGTATTTCGTACATTTGATATGGATGATAATGGTTATATTGATTTTGTTGAATTTTTGCTTGCTGTAAACATTAATTCAAATGGTGATATACGAGATAAACTTGGTCTTGCTTTTGATGTCTATGATTTGAATTCCAATGGACAAGTAAGATAGTAAAGATCGTACTTTTTTCTCTTGTCTATGTGTACATATTCGCTCAATATTAAACACACGACATATATGTTGCATCACTTATTATCTTACGTTGGTCGTCTATGCGCGTGATTAATCCTCAACTTTTTTTTTGTCCTAAAGTTCAGTAATATGTCACGTTGAGTTATTGTTCTCTTTTTCTTTTATTTAGATCGACAAGAAAGAAATGACGAAAGTAATTACGGCTATTTATGAACTCTTAGGTTTGTATTTTATTTTATTTTATTTTTAATCTCTAGGAGATTTTGATTGTTTGTTATATTCTTTTTTGTTTTTTTTTTAAGGTGAAGAAAATCGTAAGGGTGAAAATGCACCAGAACTTCGTGTGAAGAAAATAATGGAAAAATTAGATCTTAATGATGATAAAAATATTTCTCGTGATGAATTTGTTGAAGGCTGTCTTAGAGATGATGTACTTCGACAGTTATTAGCACCTAATGTTTAAACAAAAATAAAATAAAAATAAAAATAAGTTACAACAACTAAATTATCTGAAGAGCATGTGAAAATAAACAAAAAAAAAAGAAAAAAATTATCTATTTTTCTTATTATCTTTATCATTCATCTATGTTTTATCAGGCAGGTTTTTGTTTATCTAGGGTAGTTATGTTCAATCGTTTAATACGTTTGTCTGGTATATGTATTCTGCTTTAACCTTTTCTTATTTTAATTCTTAGGAAAACATTCTATATTGTTGTTTTCTGCGTTTTTGTCTTTGCTTGCCTTGTTTTAGTTCTCATTTTTAATCTTTACTCTTCTATTTGTTTTCGTTTTTTCTCTTCTTCTTTTATGTCATTGAGAAAAAAAAACTGCTTCACGTGCTACATCGATGTCGTATGAATAATGTCTTTATACACATGAATAATAAATATAGATATATATTGTTTGTATGAGCATGTGATTATCAAATAAGATTTTAACTGTAGCCATCATGAAAATAGATATTACTTGATTATATAAAATATTAAGTTTATGAAAATTTATGAGATAAACAAAAACAAAAAGAAATACATGATTTGCATTTGTATGCATCGTATATAACTATCTAACATAGTTTTGTGATAAATATATATGTCATAGATAGAATGCGGCGTCCGACTTCGAAATTCGACTCCAATGGAGTCATGAAAAAAATATATATTCTTCGGAGTCAATGCCGAAGTTATATTAGAAAAACAGTCAAGTTTTTTCTTTTTACTCACACATAATAACAAGTTTATTCTTTATATATTAAGTAATAAACAAAAATACATTTCATAAGTTACAAGAAGAAAAAAAATCAGAGAGACATTCACATTATCAAGTATCAATAAAAGAAATACATATATATAGATTAGTCAAAAAAAAAATTTTCGTAGTGAAAAAGTTTGACTCTGCAGAAAAAAATTAGAATTTCGAAAAACGTAAAATTCTACTAGGACAAAAATAATATTTTAGTTTCTTCTAGATTAACTTGAAATTTCAGATTTTCCTATAGGAAAACTTTTTAAACAGCTATTCCTTAACTATAATATTTCAAGGAATACAACAATTACACTTAGAAAACGACAGTTGGTCGTAGCGATAGATGGGCTCTATGATAATTACTCGCATATTTGACACAAGCGTGGTTCTTATTTCATTTACCATAAACTTCTATTTGCAAACATATGTTTCAATCATATATAGAACCGTGCAAGGATGACGATGACATATGAAAAATAAAGATTTCCTCCATGCAATAGATTCATAGATGATTTCGCTAATAAATGTTAATTTAATGTTGATGTGCACATTTCTCATGTAACGGGATGTCACGAAAAGATAACAAGTATATTCATTGTTGAATAGCGAAAATCGTAGTAGATACTAACTAGTAAAGTAAGGAACAACTATAATAAATGTGTAAAGCAACTACTACTTATTCCCCTGTAAGGTTTCATGCTCAATTAGAATATTTATACTCATATCTAATTTTTCTTCTCCTTAAGTAGATTGTTAGTTATTCTCTGAACTTCTTCGATTTATGTTTTCTATAATGTTAAGAAAAAATTTTTTTTTGCTAATTTTATTTTTCAACACTGCAACTTATTGCCGTAGATTCAATTAAACTAGATATTTGAATACGATTGCATTTTTTGATGAATGGCATTTTATACTACACTTTATGTTTACTGCCTGACAGTGATATTGCAGTTACATACTTCAACGGAAATAATTAATCTGGCATTCATATAAAATTTGCAGACATAAATGAATCAGGTAGACCGCGAAAATTATAGTTCGATAAATCGAATGGTTGTAACCATGAGAAGATTTGCACATAATAGGTAGGATCTATATCATTCGATGATGATCAAATCGATATTATTTTACATGACAATACTTTAGGTGTACCATTTGATCTGTCTAGTTTGTCAATTTTTAAATTAATTCAGTCACAAATTTTGATTAATTTAAATTTTTTATGCATTGAGAATTTAAGGTAAGAATCTTAGTCAATTATTTCATCGAAGCAAAATTATATCATCATACAATGGTTATATTTTTGAAAAATTATCATAAAACTTTTAATTTAACTTATTCAGTATGATTATTAAGTAATTTATTAAAGTGTACATTTTAATTTCATTTTGATCTTCTATCAATTCTGCCGAATGTAAAAGATATTTGTATAAAATAAACTAAAATATGAACTTTAAACTATGCGTTCGAGACTACTTAAAGTTCTTCTATAGCAAAATCTGAAATTTCGAGTTGTCATAGAACAAAAGAAAATTTATAATTTTCTTGAATTCTAATTTCTTCTGTAACATATATTTCGATACAAATAAATGATGCGAGAGAACAAAATAATTCATTTTCATTGATATATTTCATCTAAATACATAGTAGTTTCATATATAAGTCATACAAAATGTTCATTTTGTATTATTCTTATTAAATACTATTTCAAGGGAAATCATGCGTAAAGAAATGATATTCAAGTAAACATGCTCTCAGATTATGTAATCAAATGAGTATGTACGATATGTTGTCGTCGTGAGTTACATTAGATGATTACAAAGCTTTGTTGATGTGTATAGGATGTTGTATGTTCTCATTCAAAAAGATTTTATCGGATGATAAGATCTTATGAGAGAACCACTCGAGCTGATAGTCATGTTTTGAGCTCATATTGAAGCATATAAAGATGTTTTCATAAGTTTATCAAAAGTATAAAAGAATTCATCCTGATGAACCTTTGGAGTCGAATTATGATCGTTTTAAGTATTTACTGAAAAATCATGTGATCGAATTTCGACTATAGATAGATCAAATGATCCTCAGAATATCATGAAAGTTTCAGTCGAAAAGATTGTTCTTCTATCAAGATATATTCTCAGGTAAACTCGAGTTTTGTATGATGCCTGTGACAAACGATTACTTTTTGGAAATTCAATATCACAGCAAAAAAAATATGCTTTTCGGCTGAAACTTCCAGAATATTCTAAGGGTCATTAGATCGATCTGTGGACGGAAATTTCTGGGTCGAAATTCTACGTTTTGATTTTTTGGTATGTATCTAAAAATAACTCGAAAGTTTAGTAAAACAATTATTACTCGATTACAATGGTTTTTGGGAACGAATCCTTTTAGACTGTTGCTAGTCTCACCAAGGCTTTCTTATACGTCCAGTATGAGTTCAAACGGTGAGTACCAGTTTGGTTGGCTGTCTCGTTAGAATCATTTTACAATCATATATTTTCTTCAATTCTGAAAAGATCATATCAGTTCAGTCTCACATCTTCCAAAGATGTGATTGATCAATTGCTTCATTTAAGGTTTTTTTATGCAAAAAAAAGGATGGTGGTAGAAAGGTTCTAATATTGAGATCTGTCAAATGGATAGTATAGAAAGGTTCATTAAGTGAAATTAAACCACGATATTACATATTATTATTGAACGATAAGAACAACTCGATCATTTTGTTGATACTTAATTATTTAAATGATGAGAGAATTTTGCCAAATGATAAATCGTTTTTCGGTAGAAGTCTTACTTCAATAGGTAGGTTTGATTGAGATGAGTGAAAGCCCAAAAGGATTCATATTCGTCGGCTTTTCATTTTCCATTGTGATCATTTTAGTAAATTCTTCAACGAAATATTATAATCTCATCATGTCATTTTAGAAATCAACTTTTGAGTTCAAATTGTTCACAAATAAAGTTCTCAATACGACTAGTTAATTGTCAAAATATAAAATTTTCTAATATTTCCTTTTCTTAGCTATCCATATTAAAAATTCTGTTAAGCAAACTTTGTCCTTATGTTTTGTATATTCACATAGAAGATACAAATAAATCAAACAGCTTCACAATTAAATTTCTGTTATTGAAAATTTTATTTATACAAGGTGTCAACTCGACAGTCGATTTGGAAGGTAATCTAAAAGGAATTATAATAGTTTGTCTTACAACTCACCATAATAGCTTTATCACAAAACGAAAAATCCATAGATATGAATTCTTTTACACTTTCTCTCGTCTCAATTGAATCTATATAATTGATGTTAGAATCATCACAAAAGCAATTTACAATTCCTTAGAGTATTAAGCAGAAACCCAGCTATTTTCATCTAATTATTCTAACACTAAAAGTCACATCGCACAATATGAAGATATTCATCAGCGTATACTAAAAAGCATCATTATATCAAAACTATCATGAATATAAAAATTTTCTCAATCGTTTATTTTTAAAGAATACAAAAAACTGGTATAAAACATTGACTACATACTACTAGATAGTGCACCACATCATAGCAAAACAAAAAGATCTTGATAATAAATCAAGAAAAAAAACCAACGAATATAAAATGTACAATAAACAAAGAAAACAACATGAGATTAGAAAGATAGAAAATTTAATCATTAGATATTATAACGCATAGGATGTTGTTGTAATCGTTGTTTAGCAATATCTTTCAATGTTGTTGTTTTTTCATGATCAATAAAAACATAAGATTTTGATGTATTTGGAATAATTGTATCATCATTTTGACTATTCGATAGAGTTACATTTGATTTCTGCTAATTATAAAGAGAACAATAGTTTATTTGATATGATTATTTTAATACAAAAATTATTTTACTATTTCACAAGTTATTGGTAATTCTAGTGATGATATTGATTTTGATTTTGATTTTTGTATTTGAAATTCTGAATAATTTATTGAATTAGGATATTGTTGATTTTCTTTTCCTAACATAAAATAATTTTCTGATAAATTCGATTGAGAATTTCGATAAAATGTTGTTGCTGATGATAATGATATTGCTGATTGTGTTCGTTGTAGATTATTAAATGCTGATGAAACAGTTGTTAAACTTGATGATGATTTATCTTGTTGTTTATTGAATAATTCATTGGAAATTATTATTATACGTTCATCTAAACAATTAACAAGATTTCGAGCTTCTTTACAACGAAATGCATAACGTGCTGGACCAAGTGGTGCATGACGACCACATTCAAGAATAAATATTGAACCATCTAAACCATAACGTTTTATTGTATTAAGTGGAATAAATAATGATTGTCGATTTTTTTGATGTATACATAAATTATCATTCGATAGCTGAATTTTAGCTGATGAATGTTTACGACCATACGAATTTATATTATCAACTTTAAATATATCTTCATTATTTATAAAAGAAGTATCAGATGTTGAATTATGATTACCCATATATCTAAAAAACATAACAAACAGACAGACAAAAAACCATCACATTTATTAAAAAAAATGTGGTTATTTTATTTTTTATTTTTTGAATCAAATTTGTGTTTTTAATGAAATTCGTGGTACAATATTCATAGATTGTAATTCCTGAAAAAGTAATTTGCAAGCATAGGGAATTTTTATAGTTGCCACATCTGATGATGATTTACAAAATTGACACCTAAAAAAAAGAACATTTTTGTTTTGTTTATTATTTTCAAGAAATAAAAAAAAAAAAAAATAATTATTTTTTTTTTACCATCCATTATAACCAAACAAACCACATTGATTACATACATCAACTTGAAATTGATCACTCGATATCATTAAACGTTCAAGTATAAGCATACTAAAATATAAAACATAGAGAAGAAAAAAAAGAAACAAATTCAATTTTCTTACCTTGCACCATAACCGATTAGACAATCACCTAGAAATAAGAAAGATCAAAATCAATTTCGAGAAAAATCATTTGAAACAATTAGAATACAAAAAATATCGAAATTATATACGAATACCTTGGTTTTCTATTGACCACTATGAAATATGAGTCAATAAGAAAATTAGTTGATACAAATAATAATCAAGAAATTTATTATAATACAAAAACAAAAAAGATACTGTTATGTAACTGAAAATCGCTACAAAGAACCCATGTCGCACGTTTGTGCGCAGTATCGCAGTACTCATAAGCATTGGCGGTAGTGCTTATGACTTTCGGTTTTAGTTATAAATGATTGCAAAGAGTATGTTCTACTCGAGTTCAAATTAACTGAGAAGAAAATAGTTTCAAAACATATTTTACGAATATAACTGGAACTGACTTGGCCTCTGTCGCGAATATAGGTGGCTCAGACATATTGATATTACCAGAATGCGTCGAAAACGACTCAATTCAGTCAGTTTTAATAGACTACAAAAATATTCACCCATTTTGATTAATACATCATAGTACAACGCTTTCAAAGAAAAACTGACGGTAGATTCTCGGAAATCATCATTTGAGTATCAGCCGAACTGATTTTCTTATGTACGATTTGAGAGTGAACGTGGACGAAAAGAAAGCTCACCCATTTACATCCTCATAGACACATGCTCTATGTTCAGACATCATCAACACAATGTTAGACAGTCAACCATCAAAGCAAAAAAAAAACGAGTCTTTCAACAAACAACTACGCAATGTTATTGAAAATCTACATATAGACATTAATGATCAGTTAAAGTATAAACGGGTGTTTACTGTCTCGATAGATTCTCTTCCTATTTTTATTTATACATTCTTGTTCAATATTATTTTTGTTGATTTTTTAATGTAATCTTGCGGAATAACTAAATAATATATTCATTAATTTTGCGTTTTTCACAAAACTTTCTTCAGTGAGAATCGGCCCTAAGACGAAAGTGTCAGGCTTCCACGTAAGATAGTACCAACCAAATGACAAAGTTGATTAAAATCTTTTTAGACTTTTTTTTTATCTGTGAGTTTCCTACTTATGGATAAAATATCGAATAAAAAGCTTTCAGCAGTTCACTTGTAACTTTTTCTAATATCTTTTTTTTTTTGTTATCAAGACTTTACTATCTCGTACAAACTAATTATTTGAAACTTCTTATACATACGTTCCATTTCACCAAGTCGAAGACCACCATCACGTGATCGACCTTCAGTTGGTTGTCGAGTTAAAACTGATCGAGGACCACGTGCTCTAAAATATATAATAAATAATTCGATATAATTTAAAATTATTGAAAATATTTACCTTGCATGCATTTTATCTTGAACCATATGTTTAAGTTTTTGATAAAAAATAGGTCCAAAAAAAATATATGATTGTAATGGTTCACCGGTTAAACCTGATGTTAATAAATCTTTACCCAAATAATTAAAACCTTTTTCAATTAATACTTTTGATAAATCAACAATTTTATCACCACCAAATGCTGTACCATAACTAAGAAATTACAAAAATATAAAAAATTTTGTTGTTTTTTCAAAAAAATAAACATAATATGCATTGCAAAAGAAATGGAAAAAATGTCGAAGCTAGTCGTCTCACACGGAAAAATTCGACCAATTGAAATCGCTTAAGTTCTTCTCAAACGAAAACTGTATGAAAATAATTGAGACGCAAAAGTTTTGAATGCATGGACTCAAAGGATCAAACAGATTGCAAAAGAACTTAATCAAAAATTGTTACAAACTATTGTTGTAGGTGTTCAAAAGAAGCTTCGTTCTATGTAGCGAAACGGAGAAATTCTCTCATGAGCTATAGAACTTGATATATCTTTTCTATTTTTTTTTTTTTTGCAATGTAAATTATTTATTCTTACTGAAATTTTCCTTCTAAAACTCCAGCTTTTCCACCTAATAATTCAATTAATTTTCCAATTGTCATTCGACTTGGATATCCATGTGGATTCATAATTATATCTGGACACATACCATAATCATTAAATGGCATATCTTCTTGTTGTACAATTAAACCACAAACACCTTTTTGTCCATGACGTGAACTAAATTTATCTCCTATTTCAGGACGACGTGTTTGTCGTGTTAATAATTTAACAATAAACATATCTTCATGATTACTTGTTAACATAACTTTTTCAATACAAGCTGGTACTGAATTACGATAAACTAATGGTGTTTCTTTATCTTCAGGTTCAGCAAAAACATTTGTTGTTGTTGTTGACGTTGAATTTTGTTGTTCAGCTAATGTCATTGTTGTTGAACTAGGTGTATATTTATTTACAAGTACTTGTTTATTATCAACTATTTCTCCAACACCAACAATACCATCCATATCAAGTACTTCATGTTCCCATTTAGGTTTTTTTGTATCAATATTAATTAATGGACCTTTAATTTTATCACATGATCGATTTGGATAACGTTTCATAGCAACAACTTGTTTTTTATAAACAATACATCGTCCAAAACCTCGATCTAATGAAGATTTATTAAGAATAAGTGCATCTTCAATATCATAACCAGAATAACTCATTACAGCAACAATAGCATTTTGACCGGCTGGAAGTTTTTCAAGATTAATTAATTCAATTGTCTAAATATTAATAAAAATTATTATATTAAAATAAAATAATTCGAATATATATGTATACTCGTGTTTTAACTAAATGACGTTGTGGATAAACAAGTAAATATAATAAAGTATCACAACGTTGAGATTGATTATAACCAATAGCACCCCTAAAAAGAATAAGAATAAGATCGATCAATTGAAATTATTGTTTTACATAAATTCGACATCAAAATATTATAACTCGATAGATTTCTATATTATTAACTGACTCTTTACTCCAAATGATAATTTCAGAAGACAAATTGATAAAATACTCCTATAATTTAAATACTAATACAATAGATAGAACGATTAGGGTATCCCGAAAGATCCGCACGGATCGAGATATCAGAGTTTCGAAAACAAACAAATTTTGTCAACTGCATCAGCACTCACACCCATTGAATACAGGAAATCTTCCTTTGGAAGTGTATATATATCCTGTTTTGTAGTCAAAAATGACTCTGAACATTATAGTTATCTTTCTGTATAATCAACATAGAATTAGTTATTGAATTTCATTGTTCAAAAAATAGAAATAACTTTTTTGATACTTACATAGCTTGTTTACCCATAGCACATTGATATGTATTACGTGGTGATTGATTATGATGTGGATATGGTATAAGACCAGCACATGCACCTAATAAAGTAAATGGTTCAATTTCTAGATGAGTTGTTTCTCTATATAAAAAAAAAAAATTTCATTTAATTATATTTATTATTATTATTATTATGTTTACTTATTAATATCTTTTTCATAAACAGCTATATTTGAATCACCTTCTTCATTAACATCAAGATATTCAACAAGACCTTGTCGAAGAAAATCAATAAATGTTCTATAAAATATTTAAAAAAAAAATAAATCAATAATTTTTATCTTTTTTTATTATTAATTATTTACTTTTGTCCAAGCGCAAGTTCTTGTATATGTTGATTTGTTACTTTTGGTTGACCTTTAATAACAATAATATATGGTCGACATAATCTTCCACTATCAGATGATATATTAATAACACGTTGTTTTTTTAATGTATATACTGATATAAATTCATTTAAATATCCTTTACGTCGTAAAAATCTTATAGAATCAATTAATTTTTTAGGTTTATTTGTTGCACCAATTATATTACCATTAAGCATAACAATAAACATATTATCAGCATAAATTTCTTCTCCATTCATCATTGTTATATCTTCAATACCAAGATTTTGTGCTAAACGTATTAAAGGTTTTTCTTCTATATCAGTTGTTATATGTGTCATTAATGCAAGATTTTTAACAAGACCACAACCTTCACCTTCAGGTGTATCCGATGGACATAACATTCCCCATTGTGATGGTTGAAGTGAACGAGGACCAGATACTTTACGAGTTTTTTCAAATTGACTTGTTATCATTGTCATCATACCAATACCAGCAACATAAGAAAGTCTTGAAAGTACATGTGTTACACCATGTCGTTCCATTTTAAAACGTTTTATTGTCCAATTACCAGTTGATATAGCTATAACAAGACCATTTGTTATTATATCTGGTCGAATATGTTTAGTAACATCAAATTGTTGTGCTCGTTGACGTGGAATTATTTTATTAGCAATTTTTTGTAACTAAAAAGAAAACAATTTTTTATTTTTGTTTTTATTTTTCATATTTTAAATTTACTTCTGTATTAAATCTTTTAAAAAGATCTTCAAATAGAAGAGCAATTAATTGTCCAGCTAATTCTAAACGTTTATTTCCATAATAATCTCGATCATCAATATTAACAAGACCTAATTGTGCTTGTATAACACGTCGTACCATTGAAGCAGTATAAACAGCTTTTAATTTATAATTATATTCAATAACCTCTGATGAGAATTAGAGAAAAAAAA